AAAAAAAAAAAAACACTGAATTGATTCACAGGCAATCTTACAGATTGGGTGTTGCTGTGTTCCATTTGTCGGATTAACATTAGAACTTCAAGGAAAGATATCTGCCGCATGAAAAAGTTGAAGAACAACAGAAAGGAATAACAACAATATTATGGAAACTTATGAACAACAAACATTATTACAGGCAAAGGATACAAAGGTAACCATCAAAGTGTAGTTAATTGCTTTATTGTAGTAGATATCAGTGTTGACTGAAGTGGCATTTAAATGCATAGGTGAAAAGCAGTCCACGTCATCGTCCACTGAAGGGCTCTCCATTAGTCCATCAAGATAATACTTATCTTGATCTCCATCTATGTAGAAACGAAAGCAGTGTAATTCAAAACTGTAAAGTTGAAGAGAACATGCTAGAGAAAGTACAGCATACGAGGGATACGTACTGTAAAACAAAGTACCATCTTTTCCTGAGGAGAGGCGGGAAACTTGAGCTGCAATTTCAATATTGCAATGTTTCTCCATTTCGTATATGGGAGCTGCAACAGGATGAAAGCTCGGCAATTTTTGAATGAGTTCATTGGAAAGCAGATAATATAACAAACCATTCGAAAAAAAATAAATAAATAAAATTATAGCCTGGAGAGTTAGAGGAGTTCAATGAACTACAACACATAATAGAGCAAAAAATGTAGTTTAAGAAGTACAGTTTTTCTTCTTCCAGATTTTATCTCGGGGAGACTCCTGAAAAACCTGGGACGAGAAAACTCCAATCTGTATAAGGAACAAACCATCAAAACTGAATGTGAGAAATTATTCTGAAGAAACAGAATTCTCCACACTATTGGCAACCCACTCGAGTAATGGCTTTTTAAGTATAGATAAAGAATTGATCTCATTAGTTATTTTGATTGAAAGAGAAAAAGAATTTGCCAGACTAAGTACTATTGATTACCAAGTGATAAGGGGTAGTTAATAGGTAATCATCTTCCTGTCCGAGCTCGCCCTCTTTTCCACTGCGAAGATACAAAAGTAGCATGAGATATAGGTTGATCTATGTTCAAATCAGTATGCTGTAAAAGATGATTTCAGTACAAAATAACTTTTCAATCCAATATCAATTCATGGGTAAATTTAGGGGGAACATCAGTCAGATTCTCTCTCTCTTCCACTAGTATGAGTAAAGATCAATTCATGGGTAAATTTAGGGGGAACATCAGTCAGATTCTCTCTCTTTTCGACTAGTAGGAGTAAATTTATGAGCTCCACAAAGATTCTGATTCAAGAATAAATGTTTCACTGTATGATAGCTTCAGGTCCCAAATATATGGGATCAGGAAGAATAGAGATAAAGTTACTTTCAAATCTCCACAAATAAAATGACAAAATTCGAATCCCATGGGATACAAAATTAATTGAGACTGCACATATGAATGACGAAATTTGTATCCACAGATGGGAGAGTACTTTTGAATCGAATGTATATATGCCATATCACAACTCAAATGAAGAGAAGAGCATAGTAAAACAACAAATTTTCAAACACTACAATGAATTTTACCTGTTGGCTACCAGCCTTAACTGTCTAAAAGGCCATATGTACACACCTTCTACCCTGATTTGAGCACCACGAACATCTTTATCATTTTCAAACACATCATGAAAAACCATAAGCCCCTGGTGAATTGCATCATGATGGTCACAATTGCAATAAGAGACTGACTCAAAGAGAAAAACAGGAGAAAAAACAAAGTAATCTCACTTTGAGAAATTTTATTGTTTAATTTGAAAAATGGCTCCTGATAACAGTAGGACTTCCAATAACAATAGAAATAACTCATTTCATGGCACACCTTCTTATTAAGTTAAAAATATAAAAGTACCTGAACATAGTGTACACCAGTTATTTTTGTTGGAGTACTAATCAACTCTAGTACAGAGTTCCCATTTGAATTCTTAAAATCTGGAAACTTAGATGAGGCATTTTTGGATTCTAGGAACTTCCAATTTCCTGAAGGCAAAAATTAACAAAATCAATGGAATATTTAAGAGCATCTGCTAGAAGTAATCATGCACATTAGGGGCAACCAAATCGAAGAACCATACTGATTAAATGCCCACAATTTATTTTTTTTCTTATCTGGTAAAGCCAGTTTTCGGAAGATATTGCCTTGCTACTTAACATATTTAGACTAAGACAAGAACAAAATGTCTTCATTATGTAATTAGCTTTACGCCCTTAAAGATTCAACAGATTCAAATCTAACTCTTTTAAGCATAATACAATCAGTTGTTTCATAGATATTGACTTAATAAATATAAGAATTAATCATCATAATAAATGATTAGCAGAAAACTCCAGAGAGGCAAAATAAAAACCTCGATATGTCCCTGTAATATTCCAAGATGAAAATGGACCCAATTCATTCTCTTCTTTCCCTAGAGGGAGCCACTGCAAGAAGTAAAAGGCTAACATTGTGTAACTAATAAAGCAAGATCGATCGATGCAGAGTGAGAAGAATAGAGTGCGCATGAATGCATGACTTTCCTTGGATGTATTTAAACAAGAAAAATACTAATAATGAGATAGTCTGAATCATGAAATGAAAATTACTAACAGCTACGACGAGGCAGCTGAAAAAACAAGAAAAGAAAGGAGGGGAAGGAAAAAGGAAATGGAGAACGTAAAAAGAGCAAGCAAACACGACATACTAATAATGAGATAGTCTGAATCATGAAATGAACCTAAACTATGGGATATGTCATATTGTCACAGTGAATAGCTGAAGGTGTCTCCTTCATATAAACAAGCACATCATGATCCTTGCTCGCAATTAAAATGATTAATTAGCCAATTGAGCCATAAATATTGAAAGCAGATACTAATCGCCTTCCCTAGACTTTTCCTCTCAGCCATACAATCAAGTGCAAAACCAAGTTTCCAGGCACCAAATTCATGCAACCAATACACTCTACAGGTTTCAACAAATCTAAAATAGCAATCAATATGTTATGGGAGTCGCAAATGACGACCCCGGAATATGAACTTGGGAAAACTTAGATGCATCTATCATCCTTAGTGGAGTCTGTGTAGTTGTGAAGTGTAGAGGTCATAATACTTGGTGCCAGCTATAAAAAGGGGTTTGCCCCCAAGTCCTTGATTACTTACATTATTTAAAGTTCTCAAATTGAAGAGAGTTACACCTTCAATATGATTACATTCACATTATGGCATTGCTCAAGCATCTGCGTGATTATTAGAATGAAAATTTGATGAAATATTGTGCTAAAACTTGCCCTGATCCATTAGTTCATTCCAATCTGATGCTACCACAATATGTTTCCAAATATTAATGTGCTGTGACACCTTACAACTTCTGAAAAAAACCACTCATGAGTTGCCTCCTAAAAGTAAGATATCACATGCAACAAGTGTCAATAGTAACCCGTAACGTCAAAGGAGCCAACCAAAGGTTCCAAAATCATCAATCACTAGTCATTACAAGAATCAATTCATTGAAGATCATGAAGATGCATGCATTGAACTGCGAGATTCTTTCATAATCATGAACAATGAGCTATGGTTGCAACTAAAAATTTCTTAAATGTATTAAGCAACTAAAGGTAATTAACTAGATCCAGATACTACACTTCTCTGTTCAATCTCCTAAACATAAACTAAGAACATATCCATATAGACAGTACATAATGAAATTGGGAACTACAATTACCATAGAATTAGAGAAATTAGACGGCTCAGGACATAATTCATTCAAGAAACAGCAGTGACATGACCAAAACAACCAAAAAAACAAACAACCCAAATCTTAAAAAATAAAAACACACAAATAAGCACACTAAACTAACCTCATCACCCCAAGACCGCGGCCTCTGCCTTAAAGGCCTTAATCCTTTCACGGGCTGTATGACTACAAAAACGAACCACAGCCCAAATAGAATTCGAAACAAAATACTCCGAAAATTGCAACTTCTCATCGAACCCATTTCCTAAGATCAACTGAAATTCTTCTTCTTCAAGCGACACAGCGAAAAATCTTATCTTTCCTACACAAAATTACTGGTGGGTTTTTCGCTTAAAGTTGAGGCAAACTCCGTTTAACTAACAACTCAACAAGAAAAAAAAAAAAAATGATAAAAACACACCGATTGTTATATACAGAAAACGAGAGCTTAACAACTAAAAGAATTACTGAAAGAAACAAAGCTGGGTGAGGAAAAATGTCCTCTTCTTGGAAGCTCAATTCCTGAGCCAGAAGCACGACTACTGAATTATTTCCTTATTCAACATAGAAATCGATATTTGTGAAAAAAAAAAATAAAAAAATCAGAGCTTTGACATGGTGGGCTATTTTTTTATGGTGTTTCTTTACTGTATTTTGGGGTAAAAGGGGAGTCAAGAGCGGAAAGTGAAAGACGTTCTTTTTGTGTTCTTCACAATAATGGTAGACTTAATTATTTAGACAAATAAATATGTTAGGCAAAAATTTTAATTTTGGTCGGTTAATTTGTCAATTGTCCATTTTCATACACTATCTTTTTCCCTCGTAAAAAATATTCTATTATATTACACTTTTCATCAGTTTTAGTATACTAATTCCGTGGCCTGGGATTACGAGATGACAAATCAGGTTTTTATCCTACCACGTCAATATCCTATCCCTCCTCCATGTAGTTTCAATCTCGTAATCCCGCCAACTGAATTAGTGTACTAAAATTGATGAAAAGTGTGATATAATAGACCGTTTTTATGAATGGAAAGATAGTATACCAAAAGTGGACAACAGACAAGTTAGCGAATCAAAATTGGATTTTTGCCTAAAAAGGTTTTAGGATGCTTAAAATTCAACTTTAACCACCAAAATATGAATTTATGTTAATTTGAAATCTTGAATTTTACGGTTATAAATAGAATAAACATTTATCATTGCCATAATTATGCCAGAAATTTAGAAGTGTTGGTTAATTTCCATCAACATAATTAAATATTACATGTAATTATTTGGGAAAAAATGTAAAATTAATTAAAGAAAAAATTTATATATATATAGTCTTATTCCTGCCAGATTCTTTGATTCAATTTCATGTTAGTGGAACAGAAATTCAAGTACTGAATTAAAAATTAACTATTACTACACATTTACTAAAATTTACTATTATTAACTTATATATATGTATGTATATATAAATTACAACTAACAATGCTTATTTTCTATTTTTATTATCATATCATGCTTAATTGACATTTTTTGTATCAATTATTATTATTTAACTGGTGTGTGGCCCGTGCGATGCACGAGAAAATAATATTACTATTGTGTTATAAACTAAATGTACAAATAAATTTATCAAGATTTACCTATCCCTTTTAAATTAAATCGTATTGGACACAGTCCGACCGGATGGACCGAGAATTAATTTATAATCAGTCTAGTTCACTTGAATAAAATATTTGTTATTAAATCCGTCAACACCAGTCAGTTGAACTGGTTGGATCGATACGATTTTCTAAATAAATTTGGCTATATTTAAAATTATTTTAAATAAAATTACATATTTAAATAAAATAGAGATTTATAAATTATTTATTAATTAATATAAACATTTCAAATTTTAAATTATTTAAATATTTAATTAACACATTTTATTTAAATTTATTGCAAAATGTACTATATATATATTAGAGGGTATTTTTAAAGAAAAAAATTAAACTGTATGATTTTTATAAATTAAATTGTATGATTATATTAAAGTATATTTATAAATTAAATTGTGTGATATTCAAAAAAAAAATAAAAATAATAATAAAACTACTATTTATGGACTGCCTTAAATGCTGATTTTTTTTTTTTGCTATTAATTTTAGTAAATATGATGGCTATTTATATAACTATAGATTCTCTACTGCTTCTCGGCCTACCTTCTCATGTGATACGGATATTACTGTAACGAACCGAACGTTCGCGAATAAAAGCACGTTCGAGCTCGTTCGTGTTCGACAAAAGCTCGTTCGTTTATTAATCGAGCCGAGTTCGAACAGAAAATTAGGCTCGTTTACTAATCGAACGAACACGAGCTCGTTCGTGAACGTTCGATTACGTTCGCGCACATTAATTTAATATAATTTTAGTTTATTTTATATATATTTAAATAATATTTTTAATAAAAAATCTAAAATTTAATATAATTTTATTTATTTTTTTATATATTTACATAATATTTTTAATAAAAAATATAAAATATAAAAATATTTTTATTTTATTCTTCTATTTTCGAGTTCGAACGAGTTGGAACGAACAAATTTATGAGTTAATGAAACATATTTAAAAAGTTTATGTATTAAATTATTCGAACACGAACGAACTCGAACTTTTACGAACAACTAAACGAACGAACTCGAACACGATTTTTTGCTCAAAAAATAAACGGACACGAATACTGTTCGAACATAAACGAACACGGACTCGAACAGCCTAAACTCGATTCGGTTCAGTTCATTTACAGCACTAGATACGGACTATTTTTCTGGCTTTTAGAAAGGGACCAATTCAAAGGCCCGTACTGGTCGTTCAACAAATGCCCTTGGGCCAATCCTTTTTACACATCTGGGCCTGCTAACGGGCACACCAAGCATTACAATTTACATATATGTCAATGCTCCATTGAACTACACGTGTAAAGCTGAGATCACTCCAAAAGAAATAATACACACATCCACCTGGATTTGAGGAGTATTTTCTCGTAAATAATAATGGTTTTTCAGTTTTTCTCACATTTAATAAGTTGGACTAATTTTGAACAAATGCAATTGTCAGTTTTCTCACACTTATATATCTTAGTCAGTGAGGCACTAAGAGATGTAAACACTATTAACTAAGGGGCAAATATGCAATTAATTATTTTAACATGCATATATTCCCTAAATAAATTGATTTTTAGGAAATGGTACAATCACTGAACCATTCCATCGAGATTTGTTGGAACCGTTAGATCATTATATAAACGTCGTGTATGGTTGATTTAACGGTTACAAACCTCGACGGAATAGTTCCGTAATGAACCGTAAAATCTCCCTTGTTTTTCTAAAAAAAAAAAAAAAAAAAACATGTTGCAAGTGCAACATTCATATTCATCCCATGGTTCTTTCCTGTCCAACAAACTAATTAAATCTCATTTGAAGCTTGAAGTTTTAAGGCTTTCAAAGCAAGACCAAGACCAAAAAGTCCATCAATATTAAAGTTCATTAATACTCTAATTCATCACATTAAAACCCTTTCAGCCCCAACATATATACAGGGCAAGTACACATTCACAACCATCCTCTTAAGCTTTACAAAATACAAAGGTGCCTCCTTTTCTCTCTCAAGTCCTCTCACATCTAACCCTAGAAAAACAATAAGAACAAACTAAATATCTATTACATAACAATCCACAATTTTATTTAGCAATGGAGGTTTGCTCACTTACAATAAGCTTTGTCTTGGTAATATTGACTGGTTTTTTGTGGTCATCAAATGCTCATACTTTAGATGTCGGGGGCGACGAAGGCTGGAGCCTTCATCCCTCCGAAAACTACACTCATTGGGCTCGAAGATACCGATTTAAGATCAACGACAAACTTTGTACGCTCTTTCTTGCCCGTATCTTTTTCTTTTCTTCATAGAATGCTACTTAATAGAATACATGCATCACAGTTCGAAACACACACTTTTGCTCTTGTCGTGCAGTTTTCAAGTATGAGAAAGGCCACAACTCGGTTCTCATCGTGAACCAAAACGACTACACCGAATGCAACAAGGCAAACCCCATCAAGACACTAAAGGGAGGTCACTCGAAATTCAAGCTAAAGAGATCGGGCCCGTTTTTCTTCATAAGCGGGCACGACCAAAACTGTGAAAAGGGGCAGAAGCTCGAAATCGTAGTCATTTCTCAACATCATCATAACCGCAATAATAGTTCTCCATCTCCACCGCCCCTTAAACCACCACATTCTGCCGCTCCGTTGCCGGCGGCAGGACTCACGGCCCCCACACCGCCAGTCGAGCCACCATCCCTTTCCCCATCCCCATCTTCGGTGGCCGGAAAAGTCCCAACACTCATGTCGCCAGTCGAGCTGCCACCCCATTCTCCGGCAGCCGCCAAAGCCCCCACGCGCTCGCCGCCAGTCAGGCAACCTTCGCCATCTCCGGCGAAAACTCCGACCAATCCCGTCGGACCACATTCCCATTCCCCATTGCCGTATCCGGCGGCCAATACCCCTGCAACCGAGCCACCATCTCATTCTCCAGCGGCCGCCAAAGCCCCCACGCGCTTGCCGCCAGTCGGGCCACCTTCACCATCTCCGGCAAAAACTCCGGCCGATCCCATCGGACCACACTCCTATTCCCCGTCGCCTTATCCTGCGGCCGAAACCCCTGCAACCGAGCCACCAATAATCACCGAGCCATCGTCTCGTTCTCCGGCGGCCGAGCCTGCACAGCATTTCCATGCTCCGGCGCATGCTTCTTCTACCGCGCCAGATTTCCGCTTTTCCTTATATCGGCTGGCGGTTTTTGGTCTTGTATCAGTTTCTGTTGGCTTTGTTTGAGCCTTTCATGCCCTGTTTGCTTTTCCATTTCTTTTTTTAATTTCTAGTCTTGATTTTCTGTTGTTTGGAAGGGAAAGTTCAACTTAAATTATATTTGAATTACATTTATTAGTGCAATTTCCCTTTAAACTAAAAAAAAAAGGTGCAAAA